CAATGTAGCAACATGTTCAGCAGCATGAGGTTTGGTAAATCACAGAGTGCTACACACATTAGACTGTGTCACAGATGTCATTGAGCTACCTACTTAAGCCATACTGTATTACTGTGTATTAGTCTGTTCTTACAGTGCTATCAAGAAATATCTGAGACCGGGCACAGTGGCTCACGCCTGTAATCCCAACACTTTGGGAGGCCAAGGTGGGAGGATCACAAGGTCAGGAGATTGAGACCATCCTGGCCAACATGGTGAAACCCTGTCTCTACTAAAAACACAAAAATTAGCTGGGTGTGGTGGCGTGCACCTGTAGTTCCAGCTACTTGGGAGGCTGAGGCAGGAGAATTGCTTGAACCCGGGAGGCAGAGGTTGCAGTGAGCCAAGATCGCACCACTGCACTCCAGCCTGGCACTTGGTGACAGAGAGAGACTCTGTCTCAAAAAAAAAGAAAAGAAAAAAAAGAAATACCTGAGACTGGGTAATTTGTAAAGAAAAGAGGTTTCATTGGCTCATGGTTCTGCAGACTATACAGGAAGCACAGTGCTGGTATCTGCTTGGCTTCTGGGGAAGCATCCTGAAGGTTACGGTCATGGAGGATGGAGAAGGGAGAGCAGGCATGTCACATGGTAAAAGTAGGAGTAAGGAGAAAAAAGAGGGAGAGGAGGGGAGGTGCCACACACTTTTAAATGACCAGATATCATGAAAATTCACTCACTATTGCAAGGAGAGCACCAAGCAGAGAGTGGTAAACCATTCATGTGAAATCCACTCCAGTCATCCAATCACCTCCCACCAGGCTCTGCCTCCAACATTGGGGATTGCATTTCAATATGAGATTTGGGCAGGGACAAACATCCAAACTATATCACCACAACATGACAATTTGTTGACATATTGGCTAGTGTTTGTCTTCCCTATACTTCTTGTCAATTTCAAGGAAGTAGCCAAATCCTTGGAATTTTCTTGATCTCAGCACTTTTGTAGGGTTGGGCAAACAGAAGGATTTGAAGCTCTTTCAGTCTTTTATGAAAGTTAAGCTTTGGGAGGCTGAGGTGGGAAAATCACCTGAGTCCAGGAGTTGGAGACCAGCCTGAGCAACACAGCAAGATTCTGACTCTAAAAATAAAAATAAAATATTGTAAATAAATAAAAAATGAATACCATCTTAGAGACTGTGAATTATATCCCCAAGGGGAGATAAGATGTGTTTTGGGGATGACAAGAAGGGAAGAGAGATTTTCTTCAGGTGTGAGAAAGCCAAAAGAGAAGGAGAAATTATAAACAAGAATGTGGCAGTACCCACTAGGCTGTAGTGCCCACCACAGTAGTTACTATCAATATGAGGTTTTTAAGTTCTAAATTAACAAAAATTAAATATAATTTAAAATTCGGTGGCACTAGCTAGATTTTAAGTCCTCATAGCCTCCTGTGTCTAGTGGCTACCATACTGGACAGCGCAGTTATGGAACATTGCTATCACTGCAGAAATTTCTGTTGGACTGTGAGTAGGTGTCAGAGGCTATGAGGAAGCAAGGGAGATTAGATGCTCCCAACCTCATCACAGAGTCATATGCTCTAACAACAGAGAATTAGCAGCTGAGCTGCCCAGCATGAGATACACAGGTTGAGACAATAGACTGGTGCATCAGTGGAAAACAGTGTGGACCCACAACTGTAAACTAGAGTGACAGTCTTCCCTGCGTCAGTGCTTAATAAGATCCAATGACCTTTACACACTTTGGAGGGCAGGAGATGATTTAAAGAAAATTTAAAAATGCACACTTGAATATAGGGAACTAAGGTTAATACCTGCTACATTCATACACAAGTATGCATACACATATACAGCCACCCCCCAACACACACACTCAGTCATCCTTCCTTCTTCAACTGTTTATTTCAACACTGATTTCACAACACTATTTAAACAGCTCAGGCTATCTCCATGTCCCAGTAAGTACTTGTCAGTACACAAACAGGTCACAATCCATTATTTAAAAAGCATGGTTGCTGGGCTCAGTGGCTTATGCCTGTAATCCCAACACTTTGGGAGGTCGAGGTGGGAGGATCACTTGAGCCCAGGAGTTCAAGACAAGCTTGGGCAACATAGTGAGACCCCATCTCTATTTTTAAATAAAAAAACTTTAAAATAATAAAATAAAATAAAAAATAAAAAGCCCAGCTCCAGTTAGAAAATGGGCAAAAGACATGAAGAGACATTTTACCAAAGAGGCTATACAGATGGCAAATATGCACATGAAAAGATGTTCAGTATTTTTAGCCATTAGAGAAAGGCAAATTAAAGTCATAATATCACCACACACCTATCAGAAAGGCTAAAGTAAAAGATAGTGACAATACCAAATGCTGATGAAGATGAAGAGAAACTTGATCCCTCATACATTACTGATAGGAACACAAAATGGTACAACTACTCTGAAAAACAGTTTGGCAGTTTCTTAAAAAGCAAATATGTAAGTACCATATGACCTAGCAATTGAACTCCTAGGCATTTGTCCCAGGGAAAGGAAAACATGTTCACATAAAAGCCTGCACATGAAGTTCACAGCAGCTTTGTTTGTTTGTTTGTTTATTTTAAGACAGTCCCACTTGGTCACCCAGGCTGGAGTGCAGTGGCGTGATCTCAGCTCCACCTCCAAGGTTCAAGCAATTCTCCTGCCTCAGCCTCCTGAGTAACTAGTACAGGCATCTGCCACCACCCCGGCTAATTTTTGTATTTTTTTTGTGGAAATGGGGTTTTGCCATGTTGGCCAGGCTTAACTCCTGACCTTAACTGATCCGCCTGCCTCAGCCTCTCAGAGTGTGGAATTACAGGCATGACCACAGTGCCTGGCCAATAGCAGCTTTATTTGTAATAGCTAAAAACTGTAAAAGCCAGAAATGTCCTTCAACAGGGAAATGGTTAAACAAATTGTGATACATACTTGGAATACTTGGATGAATATCCAAAAATTATGCTATTGTCTCCATTCTGTAGAAGTAGGATGGATTCCCGCCTAAAATGTGGTTCAAATGATGACACTAGATACATATTGAGAGAGTGTGAAAAGGTTTATTATGCACATAAGAGGTTTTCTGGAGACAGCTGGGAAGTCTTCCCAAACAGGTCCAAAAACAGCAAAAGAGAGCAGGGAAAGAAAACTGACTTGAAGTTTTCTTAGGTGTTGAGCAGTGGGGCTAGGGTGATGATTCCTGCATGCAGGCGGGGGCCCACATGGTTGGAATCTCAATGCCAATGGAAGAACCTAGGTGTTCTTATCAGCTTGCCCAGATATGGGGCAAAATAAGAAAAGAAAAGAGTGGGGTAGAAAAGCTACTAGCAAACATCAGAAAATGGAGTCAGACTCATTATTATTACATGGGTACCACAAAAAGGCCTTTCTCAAAAGAATGCATACTGTATGCATCCCTTTATATAACATTTTTGAAATGACAAGATTTCCAAACTGGGCATATTTGTTAATGGTTTCCAGGGTGTAGGGATGGGGAGGGTGAGGAAGGTAGGAGTGTTGTAAATGGGCAGAATCTCGTGATGTTGGAACTCTCAGTATCTTGGCTGTAGTGGTGGATACACAAACCTATACAGGTAATAAAATTTTATGGAACTGTGCAGTTTCCACACATACACACACATGTGAGTACCAACAAAGCTAGGAAAATCTGAAAAAGACAATGTATTATAATAATGTTAATCTCCTGGTTGTGATATTATACTAATGTTTCGTAAAATGTTACATTGGGAGAATGCATGTAATATTTTACAAAATGGGTGAAGAACACATGATATCTAGCTGTCCGGTTTCTTTCTTTTTTTGAGACAGAGTCTTGCTCTGTCTCCCAGGCTGGAGTGCAATGACGTAGTCTCGGAGTTCACTGCAAACTCTGCCTCTCAGGTTCAATCGATTCTCCTGCCTCAGCCTCCTGAATAGCTGTGATTACAAGTGTCTGCCACTGTGTGCAGCTAATTTTTGTATTTTTTAGTAGAGATGGGGTTTCGCCATGTTGGCCAGGCTGGTCTTGAACTCCTGACCTCAGGTGATCCACTCACCTCAGCCTCCCAAAGTGCTGGGATGAAAGGCGTGAGCTACCATGCCCAGCCCTGATTTCTTAAAATTGCATGTGAACCTAGAATTCTCTCCATTAAAAGACTGGCGATCATTAAAAAAAATCTGTAGACAACAGATGCTGGAGAGGATGTGGAGAAATAGGAACACTTTTACATTGTTGGTGGGAGTGTAAATTAGTGCAACCATTGTGGAAGACAGTGTGGCGATTCCTCAAGGATCTAGAAATAGAAGTACCATTTGACCCAGCAATCCCATTACTAGGTGTATACCCAAAGGATTCTAAATTGTTCCATTATAAAGACACATGCACATGTATGTTCACTGCAGCACTGTTTACAATAGCAATCACCTGGAACCAACCCAAATGCCCATCAGTGATAGACTGGATAAAGAAAATGTGGCACATATACACTATGGAGTACTATGCAGCCATAAAAAAGGAGGAGTTCATGTTTTTTGCAGGGACATGGATGAATCTAGAAACCATCATTCTCAGCAAACTGACACAAGAACAGAAAACTAAACACCACATGCCGTCACTCATAGTTGAGTGTTGAACAACAAGAACACATGGACACAGGGAGGGGAACATCACACACTGGGGTCAGTTGCGGGGTGGGGTGCTAGGGGAAGGATAGCAGGAGATGGGGAGTTTGGGAAGGGATAACATTGGGAGAAATACCTAATGCAGGTGACGGGGGGAATGGAGGCAGTAAACCACCATGGCATTTGTATACCTATGTAACAATCCTGTAAGGTATGCACATGTACCCCAGAACTTAAAGTATATATATTTATATATATACATATATATAGAGAGATCAGAAAGGGAGAGTCTATTTGGATTACAGGACACTCTGGGGTGGGACAAAGAGCAAAATGAGTGAATGCCTCTGAACTGAGCCAACTGACCCAGTGCACTACCTGGTCTCTTGAAGTCCTCTTCAACAATGTCATGGCCACCAGAGGTCAGACGTCTTCATTATCATAAAGACCAAAAGCTGGGTCAATGCTTAGAGGCACTAACCTGGAAATACAAAGACAGGTAGGATAAAATTCAGAAGCAGCCTAATAACTTGAAAACTGATTATTTTTATGATAGATGAATGAATAGCAAAAGAAGGTTCACATAGGAAGTAACTGATAACCATTTATGTAAGGATGTCATTTACAATTCAGTCATTCACAAACTTTTTCAATGACCTGTTCCTTAACATAGATGAGAGTACATACATGAATGGATGGAGGTGTGGTGTGTAGCCAGAGGCAGCCATCTAAAACCTGAAACACCTGCAAAATCTATACAAACGGTACATTACACTGCATAATACATCTTTATTTATTGTAATATAGAAGTACTGTTTTCAATATTGAATTTTATAGTATGCGTATTTTACCACAATTCAAAGAAAAGGAAGAAATGACTGTCAAAAAGTGGTGACTTTTTTAAAAGTGTTAAAATTAGACTGAGTGCGGTAGCTCTCACCTGTAATTCCAACACTTCAGGAGGCAGAGACAGAATTGTGCTGGAGACCAAGAGTTCAAGACTAGCCTGGTCAACATAGTGATACCCTTTCTCTACAAAAAAAGTTTGTAGATTTAGCCAGGTGTGGTGGCACATGCCTGTAGTCCTAGCTACTTGAGAGGTTGAGGCAGGAGGATCCCTCGAGCCCAGGAGTTCAAGGCTTCAGTGAGCCGCGATAGTGCCACTGCGCTCCAGCCTGGGTGACAGTGCAAGACTCTACCTCAAAAATAAGTAAGTTTCAAAACTGATCACAAAAAATCTCAATAATTGTTACATTATGTTTAAATGATACTATTCTGGATATCTTGGGTTAAGGAAAACATAATTAAACTTTCTAAAAAAATATTATTTTCAATTAAAAAGTTTAGTTAAAATTATATGAAAAAGTTCAGTAATTTGAGCAAAATTGACCTCCAGGAAGATGATTCCTCTATGGCCCATGTGGCTCCTGGTACATAATATACTACTGTGAGAAGTGTGGCTTTACTCAAATTAAGTATTTCTTTAAAAAACAAAAAAAGTCTAAACTCCTAACTCTGAGTCTCTGCTTGTACTACTCTGGAACAATTTTGCTAGGTTTCCTCCCCATGAATGTTCATCGATGACTTAAGTCCCAGGTAAAATGTTCCCTCCATGAGTCCATCTAAAATTGCCCAAGACAATATTTTTTCCTTCTCTGACTCGTAAGCCTACCTCTATTTCACTGGTTGTCCTCCCACATAGGTGTGGAGTAAGTCTAATGTGGACTGTGTGTAGTAGGTACCTAATGATGTAGAAAGAATCATGGTGGGAGGACCCCAGGTTTGGCCCATCTGTGCTCCTCCCCATTGGTGATCTCCTCTACTCGCACAACTTTAAGCAAAAATAGTTCAAATGGTGAGGACTCTCCAAGTTATATCCCCCTGCTTATCTTCTCGTTTGTTGCACTTCAGATCTGCATAGCCAGTGGCTTACTCAACCTGTTCACTTCCTTGCCTAAGAGGCATTTCAAACTGAACCCAGCCAAAATAGAATTTGATTCTACACCCTCACCTCAAACCTGCTCCTCCTCTCCTGACTTCCCACCTCACTCACTGGCATCATGATCCACCTGCTGCTTCAGGCAGAAACAGCTAGGAGCCACCCTAGATTCTTGTTTTCCCTTACGCCGTCTCCACATTCAACTCATCAGCAAGTCCCGTCAATTCCTCCTTCTAAGCAATCCCAAATTCACTCTGGGCCCAGCCACCATCATGGCACACCCACATCATGGCAATAGCTTCCAAACTAGTTTCCCGCTTTCATTTCACCTCTTATCAATCTGTTCTCTACATAGCCCCCAGTAATCTTGTTAATCAAATCATGTTACTCAACTACTTAAAACCCCCAGAGTTTTCCTAGTAAGGTAGAATAAAGCCCAGTAGAAGTCAGCCCTGTCCGAGACTGCAAAACATCTCCTGCTTACGTCTTAGATTTGACGTTTTGAGCACTCAACACCCCACACACTTCCTCCACCAGAGGGTCTCCCTTCTGTTCCTCCAATATCCAGCCCGTGTCTACCTTCAGGTCTTTGATCTTAAACTTTCACATTCTGGGACTGCTTTTCCTTCTGATTGTGCATTGCTTCCTTCTTATTCTTGACCTTTAGATTTCAGTGTAGATGGCACTCCTCAGAAAGGCCATCCCCAGCTACCCAATATAAAATCAATATCCAGTCATCCTCTTATCTTACCAGCATGCCATTTTTCAGTTTGTCTGTTTATTGTGGCAAGATATCCATAACTAATTTTACCACTTTCACCATTTTTTAAAGCACACAGTTCGGTGACATTAAGCGTATTTACAGTGCTGCACGACCATCACGGCTATCCATTTCCAGGACGTTTTCATCTTCCCAGCCTAACATTCTGTACCCTTAACTGTAACACCCTATCACCTGCTTCTCCCAGCCCCTGGTAGCTTCTATTATACTTTCTGTCTCGATGAATTTGCCTATTCAAAGTACCTCATATAAGTGGAATGATCACAATGTGTGTCCTTTTGTTTCTGGCTTATTTCACTTAGCATAATGTTATCATAGTTTATTTATGTTGTGACGTGTACCAAAATGTCATTCTTAAGACAATAATATTTCATTGTACGTCCATATCACATTCTGTTTACCCATTCATGTGCCAGTAGACATGTGGGTTGCTCCCACCTTTGGGCTATAGTGAATAACGTCGTTATGAACGTCAGTGCCCAAAATATTTGTTTAAATCCCTGCTTTCAATTCTTCAGGTTTTATACCTAGAAGTGGATCATATGGTGATTCTATGTTTCACTTTTTGAGAAGACACCACGCTGTTAGCTGGATCATATGTTTAACTTTTTGAAAAGGTGCCATACCATCAGCGTGGCATTTTTAGAATGTGTTTGCTCCACTAGGATGAAACCTTCAAGACAGCAGGGACCACATCTATCTTTTCCATCCCTGAATCTCCAGTACCTTGAACAATATTTGGCACATAATGGACACTCAATAAGTTTTTGTTAGATGAATGAATGAAGCAGATCTTCAGTAATTGTTAGCATTCTTTCTCCTTTCCAGTTTGTCCTTCTTAAATAAATTGTAAACCGCCTTGAGGGCAAGGATAGCTATCATTCACCTGCGTAACTGCAGCATTTAGCACGTTGAAGGTACTCAATACATCCTTGTGCATTTGAAGCAAATCTCCATTCTTTGCTTGTAGTTTGATGCTCTCAGCTGAACTCAATAGGACTGAGTGATAATTATGTATTAGTAAGAATGGAGGACATTTTTCAGTAAGAATGGAGTTAGCAAAGAAAAATGCCCAATGTAGCCCCAGGACAGTTGATGTCCAGGAAACTCTGACTTTCTATTTCTCTTATTCTTCTTTCTTTGGCTTCCAGACTGTAGCATTTTCCAGAACCAAGATTAAAAGAAGCAAAAACAGCTGAAAAATCTCCTAAATTACATTATCTCCCTCTGGGAATTGAGGCATGTTGGCTGGATTTGACTGAAAAATAACCAGGATTTGAGTCTTGGGTTCAGAGAAAATATAAGTTCAATCTCTGAAGCCTATTTAAAAATTTACATAACAGTCCTTTGGTTAAAAATTCTTTAGGTCAGGCCTTGGGCTCGTGCCTGTAATCCCAACACTTTGGGAGGCCAAGGTGGGAGAAATTCTTGAGCCCAGGTGTTTGGAGCTGCAGTGAACTATGGTCATGCCACTGAACTCTAGCTTGGGTGACAGAGTAAGTTCCTACTCTCAAGAAATATATATTTTTTGATAATTCTGATTATTCATGCCATATACAGATAAATAATATATTTACCACCCTACATTATATTAAATAAATTATGCATGCATACTATATGTTACATTTTACGTGTACTAATTGGTTGCTGAATGCAGTTGGAAAAATCCAAGGGAAAAAATGCCCAAATAGCACTCGGAACCATTGCCACGAGCTTTCTCCCCTAATCTAGATACAGTAGTAACCCATCATGTAAGAGCAGGGCAGGAGAGGGCTCCCCTGCCCCACACACACCGGGAGTATTGGGTGACCAGCACGTGATGGTCAGGCAGTTGTTAACTGTCCCTAAAGTAATAATTAGTCACAGCCAGTACCAGGGAAAGGCAGTCTCCTAATAGAAAGAAAACACCTGAAACTGATCAGCAGCTTCCCAATAAGACCTCAGGAGTGGGGAGAAGTAAGACAAGATCCTGGAAGAAAGGCCAATGTATAAAACCCCAAACCAAGAGGTCAAGCTTGGTTTTCAAGTCACGCACTTGGCCCTCTTCCAAGTTGTACTTTCCTTCTTTTCTTTCCTCTCCTTCCTTTCCTTCTTGTTCTAAAGCTTTTCTGTAAACTTTCACTCCTGCTCTGAAACTTGCCTCGGTCTCTCCTTCTGCCTTCTGCCCCTCAGTCGATTCTTCTAAGGAAGTCCAAGTGCTGCACACCCGTACGGATTCACTTCAGGTAACTCGGGGTAACTCGGATCTCTGCCACCTGTAACAGCCCTGTCAGTTCCTACTACTTAGGAACACTTTATTTCAGCCAGCAGTGTTGGAGGCAAAGCTCAGTGAGAAGACCCTCCTAGAATCTCAATATTTGCAGGCTCCAAAAGCCTGCTAGACTATAGGCATTTTCCCAGTGACCCCTACCCATCCTCCTAGCCATTGCCTGTCCTCTCTATTGGAGCCAGCTGCCTCTGCCCAGCTGCTGCCTCCATATTACACAGCCTGTGTCATTGCCAGATAGGCAGCCTCAGGTCTTCAGCCTTTGCTTACAGAGCTTCAATCACCCCTCCAATCCCATCTCTCTCTCTACTTAAAAATCTCCTAAGACTTTATCACTGCCAGAGCTCTGCCTTGAGGGATGGCCATTCCAGTAGGGCCATGATTCTTGGAGGAGCTTTGCTCACTTAGCGAGTACTGTCTGACTCTTGGGTTTAAGAAGGATATGTGAGATCGCTGTTGATCAAATGAAATACTGGTTTCAGGAAGTTGGCAAGC